TGTTTTGATTAGCTAGTTATGTTAGCTTGTTATTAATAAATATTTGGTAAAATTAGTTGTTATAAAACAGTTGTTTGAATGTAAAAAGACGTATAAAGACATGAGTGTATATATAATATTTGAGTAATGCTAATAGTGATAATGTTAAAACTATAATTTATTTGCAAAATAAATTATTTGAGAAAAACAATACTCCTTATTTTATTTGAAATAGTAAAAGAATAAATTAAATTTTAAAATAAAAGTATAATAAATCTGGTAAAGTAAAGTAAAATTGATGCTTTGAATAAAATAGAACTTTTCAACTCTTTCAATAATATTTCTTATTGTCACTAATATTTCTTAAATTCAATAAATGAATATCACTAGAGGATCAAGTAGAAAAATGTATCTTTTCTAGACACCACACAATTACTAAGCTATATCCACCATTGCTTCTGTCCATGCCATAGCTGTTAGTAGGGATGGACTCGGTTCGGGCCGGGCCTGGTTTGGGCCTTGAACCGGCCGGGCCTCGGTTCAAGGTATGGGAGGCCCAGAACCGGCACGGGTAACCCCCGGGTCCGGGCCGGACTGGGCCTCGGTTATATATATTTTTTTTTGGGCTTTTCCTAGTTAACTGCCAACCCCCCCCCCCCCCCCCTCACCCCCAAACCAACCCTAACCACCTCAAATGGCCCAAAATACCCAGCCCAACCCAAAAACTTAAAAAAAATTCAAAAAAAAAATGGTCCCCCGAACCGGTCGGGCCGGTTCACCTTTTGAAGGGCCCGAGCCCAAACCGAGATCCCACCGGGCCGGGTGACCCGAACCGGCCAACCAACCGATTCACCGGGCCGGTTCGGGCCCGCACAGTAGTGGGCCGGTCCGGTTCCGGGCCGGTTGGCCCGGCCCGAGTCCACCCCTAGCTGTTAGTGCTGCAACAAGCATTACCATTCACAACTACCTCGAGGCTCTAACCTTCTTCGATCTACCATATATAAGAAAGCTCATTATCCCCAATTAGATCAGAATTCTGCTTTTTATCCCATGGATTAGCATATGCTATGGCGGTGAATTCCAGCCTAGAGATTTGTTCGCATTTCACTTCGCCGCCACCCACAACGGCGGAACCTCGTGCCTTGAGCAATTTCTATGCGATAGAAATAAAACAAATTACAAAATAAATAAATCGTTTGAAAAAAGAGAACGAACAGGAAGAAAATAGGGGTATATGGGATGAGGGAGGTGACATGCATCAAATAGGGGCAAAGAAGGAAGAATGGGGAAAAGCCAATGCGAAACGCTGCCTACCGGTGACGTTTTCATTTTCAGCTTTTTGGACCCAATAATCTACTTGAACAAGCCATTTACCACACAATAATTTTGGCTGTTTGTATAGTCAAAATCATTTATTGCAGTCAAAGAAGCCAAAGTTTAGCTGATAAGCCGTTTTCCAAACAAGGTCTTTATGTGGAAACAGTTTAAATATAATTTACAAAAGTTATATGGTTTAGATTCGCGACTCGCGAGGCGCGTGCCTTCACATCGCTCCTCCGGTAAATTGATCCAAAATGCCACATGACGCCTCGGGCCTACTAAGATACAGTTCATGTGTCAGATTTAGTTTATCAATCCATAGTTTTTAATCTTGCAAACGAACTTATATATTTACTCAAGGAGAATTTGAACATCCTGTGTACATTATCAGCAAACAACCAATTCCTGAATTCCTGTCTTCATGTTGGTATAGTGTAGGTGATGAACATTAAGAAAATGGACGTCAGATTGAAGTAACCAAGACGAGCAATGCATCTGTCTGCTAAATTCAACAGAGCGAAATGTCCCCATTATAGCTCTAGTCCTGGGCATGCTATCCTGTTCATTCAGAACAGCGAACATCTACCATCTTGGAACTGATATTGTATTGACTATTGAGCAAGATCAGCAGAATCCACACATAGGAAGTGATCTATTTAAGTGTTTAGGACGAGCATTAATTTCATTTGAAAATCAAGGCAAAACCATGTGCAAACTAGACGTATGGATCCACTTAGCACTTGGCCATTCAGAAACACATATGATCTGAAGAGTGGCCTTCTCCAGGGACATAAGAATTAGGAATCACGGTTTCTTCATTCAAAAAAGCAGCAAATATCTGCCATCTTCATGGAACTGTACTGTATTCAGCGGGATCAGCATAAACCATAGATTTTGACTGCAGAAGGAAGTTATCTGTTTAAAATGTTTAGGAGGCTGGGTCAAGCTTTAAGCTCTTTTGGAAGTCAAGAAAGCAAAACCATGTGCTAACTAGACATGTAGGGCCACATAGTTTCAATCAGAAAAAAAATATGATATGAAGTGTGGCCATTCACAGAGACACAAATTAGGAATCACAACACATGTTTCCTAGCTAATTGATCTATTTTTCTGGGAAGTTGGCATTCATCTTCATCACCCATTTGACAGGGTCTCCTAGTAGTTGAGCTTTCCCAATCTATTTTTCAGTTTCAACAAACTATGTGGGGAATAGAGTGTTAGTCATACCAACCTTCCCATCAGAAACCTAAGGAATCTGGAGTTCTTCCATACACTAATGACTAAACCATACAATGTGAAATCACATGGTTTGTTTCCTAATAAATAATCCGAGGATTAACACTACATGGTAGGGCTTTCTTGTAAATGCAATAGGAGTTGGGATATCTCCATCTGCTCAAGCCACTGACTCAACCCACCTCCCAATTTATCTATATATACCACAACTGACTTTTGTGTTCTCCCACATTCAAAACACCTTCCACGAACTCCTAAGAAAGTATCTGCTTCTACAAACAGTTTCCTATAGCTAAAAAACATTCAACCATGGCAGTTAGTATGGCAAAAATTCTGCGTGCTACTAAACCAAGCCTCAGGAGGTCTTCTTCAAGAACACACAAGGAAAGTGAGGTTCCTAAGGGTCATTTTGCAGTTTATGTTGGTGAGGGTGAAAAGAAGCGATTTGTTCTTCCAATATCATACTTGAAGGACTCATCATTCCAAGACTTGCTTGATCAAGCTGAGGAAGAATTCGGATTTGATCATCCTATGGGAGGACTCACAATACCTTGTCCAGAGGCAACTTTCCTTGAGATCATCTCTATTTAACTCAAGTTGATATATAAACTATAAAGAATACAGATAGAAAGCTTAGTGTAGTCATTAGTAAACAGATTTTTGGGCAGGAATTTTTTTCCAGTGCCCAATTCTTTTTCACAGATTTGCATCTGTTTTTGGGCAGTTAGCATTAATATTAGATTACTATTATTGTACAATAAGAACTTCATAATTCAACCGCCATTTGAGTTCAACTTTTCCTTTTTCATACATCAATAGACTACAAACTTGCAAGCTAATACGGTTACACTAAATAAAATTTGTCTCTCCACGTAAAAAGCTTTACATTTATAAGCTTATTTGAAATATGATACTAAACACATATGGGACATGGGGGCTTGCAGTCCGTCATTTCTTATTCTCCAATGGTATGTATGTATTTTATACTTAAAATATCTTCTTGGAGTTAATCAGTTCAATTAAAACATTGGGTAAAAAAGTAAAGTTATATGGTTTATAATTTGAGACTACATTCAAACAATTAAAGTCTAAATCTCAAATTTGAATTCTCTATGAATCTAGACCTTTTTAAAATTTCAAACGAAATTATATGTTTACTCATTTAGTTATTTATTGCACATTTGTTTGACATTTCTAAATCTCAATTTTTTTGCACACAAGCAATTAACACGATGTCAAACGGTACCAGATAACTATGCGAATGGTACCCATACCTCAACATGATGTCGTTTCTTCTAGTGAAAATACTTCTGTGCAAAATAAGGCAGTGTAAGGTGTAAACATTTTCATATATGGTGTAAAAACGTGTTAAACATGAGTGACTTTCGCTAACTACAAAGTATTTACTCACTCCGTCACAAATATAGGAATATATATTCATTGCCAAAGAGGAATATATACTCATTGGTTGGCAGACAGTATTCCTATTTTTCTTTGGTTAACTGATTATTTAAGTTTTTAGATTATAACTGAAAAAACTCTACAAATATAAATATGAAGTGGGCAGAGGTGGGGCAGCCATTTTAGGACCAGAAATTGAATTCATTTTTAATTAATTGAAGAAAAAATATAATAACTAAGATGTAATCATCCTATGAAGGTATGGCAATAAGATGTAGTTCAAATTTATTTGTGTATATATATTTCTTGAACTTATCTTACCTCAGGGAAACAAAATGGATATGTATAAAGGTTAAAGGAAATGAGTAGAAATGGCAAATGAAAACATTCTGGTTTGGTTTTGTGTTGGAAATTCCAAGTTAATAAAGAGCTCATTGCAACTTTTAAAAAAATATAAAAGTAAAAATGTATGAACAAATATCTTAGTTACACTTCTATACATGTCTTTTCCCGGGTTCCAATCATACCGAAAACAATGCACACAAAAAGAGAAAACAGGTCTTTACGCAAAGTTTGCAGGAGAAGATCTAAGAGCTATAGTGGGCTGAAGTTGAGGGCAATTCAATTTTTCCCAACTTTTTAAAATGTAATTTTTTTTTCAAATTTAGTCCATCCCGTTAATATTTAAGTTGAATATACTAACTATTCAGCCCAATTCAACTCATGACTATAGGTATAAGTGATGGCTAAAGTTCCTTGTTAGGCTTTCGCCGAAAGATGCCAGCTTAGCATAGAGGACTTACACAACATGAAAGAAAAGCGAGTTATGAATGTAGAATTTGTGAGTCTGTTCGAAAATTGGATTTCAGGTACTCAAACTAGGAGTTAGAATGAAAAACTGTAACCCATTAACTATGTTAAATAACCGCAAAACCGGTGTTTTTTGGTTAGTCATACCATGTTTTTAAAAACGCAAGGTACGGCTAACCAACCAACCGAAAGAATAAAACGGTTCACAGTACAGTTACGATTTGGGTTACGATTTTGAAATTAAATACTGCAGGTTAACCAATAATCCAAAGTTAAGATATTACTCCAAATTCATGTCACAAGCGACCTTTAGCCGGAAATGTTTTCTCCGTTTATCGCATATATAAGACACATACACACACACTTGAAAATGCTCTGTTTAGTATATTTCTTTCAAGACAATAAAATACCTCTCATTGCTCAAACATGTACTAGTAAATAAAATCACATTTGCATCATCCACATCACATGCCACAGTAGTGGCTTAGTACTGTTTAGAATCATACTCTACTTAGCTCATATTGGTGTCAGCTTGCTGGATCTCCTCATACTTGCCAGTTTCTGCATCATAGGAATACCATTTTCCTGAAGCAGCATTGCAATACAGTCCTGATGAAGGGTCGTAATAGTAGCCCAAATTGACACTATAGTAATAGCCAGATGACTCATCATACACATAGTCATTTTCCTGACCACCCTCATTTGAGGCATGGTTAGTAGTAGTGAGAGGGGTTCCGTCATCCTCAGTGAACATGTCATAAGAATCATCCTCACCGTTGCCTATAAAAGTGGATGCATTGGCATTTGATGGACCTTCTGTGGGAATACAATTGTCATCAAAGACACTGCTAGAAGTATTATTCTTCAACTCCATAGATGTACCCAGTGCTTTGGCTTGAGTTAGCCTCTCATATCCCTCTGCTTCACGCTGGAAACTCTCTTGCCTTTCGTCATAGACATTGTAATCGCCATTCTCCATCAGCTTCATGGCATCTTCTGTTAGCTGATCAAAAACCTGTTTCTTTTCCGTTGTCATTTTCTCCTTGTTTTTTGAAGTGCCTTTTAACCTCCGTAGTGCTTGCAAAACTGTCTCCCCTGGATCAAGAACATCAGCAATTCGCCTCTTCATCTTCCCGAGCTCTTTTGATGTAAGTTCGGGTGCGTCATCTTCTATGGTTGCAACTTTTGCCTTTCCAGCAGCTTTTGGATGAACGTCAATGCTATCAAGCCATGCATCCTTGACATCACGTTCATGAGCATATTCAACATAGTTCCCATTGGCATCAAAATAACCTTCTTCCCTCTCTTTTGCAAGATTAAAAGGTTCAATCTGGATTCCATCATCAATGAATGATTCATCTTCCTCATAATTCTCTTCAGCTAGCTCAATGTTGGGAATCAATCCTATACTTTCTTCCTCAAGGAGTTCAGCGGTGATTTTATTTCTGCGCATTGCACGCTCTCTTGCTGCAAGACGGGGATTCAATCCACTAGGTAATTCTTCGTTTCTATTCCCGACGTAATCCCCATGCTTTAACTTTTTTCCTTTAGGGAGCCTTAACCTCTTTTCCCCAGAGGGGTTTTCGGAGCCATCATCTCCAGAGTCCTTGAAAGAACGCTTGCGAGATCGCGATGGTCCTCCTTCCATGGCAATACAGGCGGGACTTCGAACACAGCTAAAGTGTTGACCAGTGACGGTAAAGAAAGTATGGATTCGAGATGAGAAAAATATGCGAACCTGTTCTAATGGATACGTGAAGGCATCAAGGCTGCGGCTACCAGCGATTTCTGGGCGAACGGAAGTCTGGGCGAACTCACAGTGGGGTTTCTTTACCAGCGGAAGTCTATCGGAAGTCTGGGCGAACTCATCGGCGATTTCTTCACATGCGGTTTGTCTGGAGTCTGGAAGGAGTCGAATGACTCTAACGCTGATAAGTGATAACCCTAAAAATAAGATGACACCGCAATACTGGGAGCCACAGAACCTATCGAATATACTCCGTAGTTATCTAGCCTAAAGGCCTGTTTGGATAGAGTGTTAGCGGGTGTTAGTAATGGAAGCGTTAGTAAATGTTAGTAACGGCCCGGAAAGGAAGGTAAATGTAAGTGTTAAACATAACCTTACCTTATTTGGGAGAGCTAAAAAATTGAAGTGTTAGTAATGGAAGTGTTTTCACATAAATTGACAAAAATATCCTCAAGTGTTAATATTAACTATAAGTCTATATATAATAATACATTCTCCACCTAAATGCTCAAAAATTGCAATATGATAAAATTAAAATATTCTACATTAAAATATTTTATTCTACAAGTGCTAAAAATATAAGACAACGTTTCAACATGAATCCCGCATCAACAAGATAATATTTTCCTAAAACAGTATAAATTGATCATATAAATTTTTATATTTCAAATTACTCAAAATACACTTACAAAAAGTTATACTTTAAATATTCTCTTGTTAATGCATCTTTGATTATTCTAGAGTCAGATGTCGTACCCTCCCATCCAGCTAACACATATGTGAATTTCAAATCAAATGAACATGCAGCCAAAACATTTACTGTAGGTTTATCTTTTCTACCACGATATCTAGGAGCTTCATTAGGAGACACTTTTACATGAATGTGTGTTCCATCTATAGCCCCAACACAATCCTGACATTGTAAATTTAATTTAGTAGTTTGATTTTGTAGTAGTGCTATATATACTGTTCAAATAAAATAAAAATCACCTTAAAAAAGGATAGTATCGGGAGTTGTTGAATATTTCTTCAGGAACTTCAAATCCATTTGGTTGTATGAGAAATCTGTCTTCCACTTCTAAAATAGCTCTCAAGACGTTATGAAAATGACGACTATTTGTTTCTTTAGACCGATCAAAAAAGAAACGTAACGCCCGATTGGTCACACCATGTGCCAACACATATAGGGCTTTTGCTACCTGTTCTTCAACGCTAACTCGTATTGTGGGTCGAAGACCACCATATCTAACTAAGATATCACAAAGTCCTACGAATGCTTCTGCGCTCAATCGTACAATACCAGGTCCTGAATCATGAGTTACAACTCTATCGAACAGTATAGTCCTTACCCTTTCTCCCTCCAATGACAATACACGATTCACACTGTTCCGTCTTCGCAATCCAACCCAATACATAACAATGCATATGACTTTCGCTATAGCTAAATGTCGCATTCGAGTCAATTTATACAAATCTTTTAATTCAATCCTTCTACCGGTCATCCTTGATAAAAAATATAATCATAAAAACACACATGGATTAAAAACATATCAATGAAATAGAAAATATGATATTACTCCCTATTTATTTATATAAATAAATAGTAGAACTAGTGACATCTAATTCAACTCAAACAAACAATAAACTGTTTAATTTGAAAATCTCAATTCCAGCAAGCAAAATGTGAAATTGAAATTTTATGTTTATTATGAATTGATGAATTTTAGTTCAGATTCCATGACCTGGGTTCAAGATAATCACATTTACAGACATCAACATCTAAAGTTTTTATTTGGGAAACTGTTAATAGAAAATACCAACTATTGCATAATCAAATTGTAAGCAAGGTTAGGGACTAATCATCGATGGAGAAATATAGAGAAACACATGGCCCTGGAGAATATATATGTATATTAAATCTGAATATATATATATATATATATATATATATAACCCAAATGCGGATGAATACCAGATGCATATACTTCGTATGTTAATTACATGATGATGATGGAAAATCAATTGATGGTAAGAAACACATGGAACAATATAATGGAACGGTGGGAATAGGATGGACGGATGATGTTGTGACCGGTGGAATCAAGATTTGAGTAAATAAATCAAGAGAAGAAGAGCAGACTTTGTTGGAATCAAGAAAAGATGAAGAAGAACGGAGGAAAAGAGAGCACAAACCTGGAAAACGAGCTGGAAGAAGTTGGAAGATGAGCTGCAAGAGGTGAACCGACTCTCTCTGCTGCGGAAGAAGAATGGACAGAGAACTTGTGTAACGTTGAATTATATTTTTGAAATAAGGGCAAAAGTTGTCCAACACTTCATTACACCCCAAATTGGAGTGTTTAAAAAATGGTAAATATAGGTGTTAGGAAGGTTATGAGTAACACTCTCAAACACTTACTAACACCCTTAAAAAATTAATTTTTTCTCCCAAACAAGTGTTAGACTAAACACTCCTTAAGACTTCCATTACTAACTCCTTAACACTTTTCGCCCTTGAATGACAACACCGCAACAAGGAGTCGAATGAGAATTGTTTTTGGCAGTAATTTGGAGCACCCTGAACCACTTTCACTAAGTTAGATGTTTTTACTTTGGACGATTTTCAATCTCAGATTTAAACAAATTAAATTAGAGCATGCTTAAATAGATTAGATCATACCAGACTTAAACAGACCAAATTAGACCAGATTTAAATAGATCAGACCAGACTTGACTTCCGTAGTTATAAAATACACAGAGAGCAGACGTTTACCAGACTAGACTAGACTTGACTTAAATAAACCAGACCGAACTGGACCAGAGCAGACTTAAACAGACCAGACTAGCAAATTACAATCCAGGTAAAAACATCATTAGCTTTTTTTAAAGTGTATGCAAGTTAGCTGGCACAGAAAAGATACCGAAGTTAATCACACACGGTAAATAGCTTCATGTTCTTTTTCGGTAAAGCGAACCTAACTAGGCTAATAATCCGTATTATTTAGAAATAAATAAGGTGAACCTAGTTTAATGTAATAAATGTTGTTTGGATGAAGATACTCTAGCCTTTTTCTAAAATCGATAGGTGAACCATCAAACTCGGTGGGATAAATGTCTTGTAATAAATGTTGTTTGGATGAAGATACACTAGCCATTTCAAGATCATCAATCACCAATGCTCTTCATGGAAAGTTTGTGTGCGGAAGGCGAACGCAACCCCAACGAGTGGGTCGAACTTAGCCGATTTGGTAACTTAGCGGAAAATAGCATCCATTGCTAGGAAAGGACACACATAGTGTGGAATAGCATTCAATGCTATGAAAGGACACACATAGTGGAAAATAGCATCCAATGCTAGGAAAAGATACACATAGTGGAGAATAGCATCCAATGCTAGGAAAGGACACACTGACACACATAGTGTAGAAGGGAATCAATTTTATATGAATATACACATCAAGTGGAGAAAATAATTCAATGTGCTATGACTAGATACATAACTTGAGAAGAGAATCCAATGTTCCAATGTGCTTAAACTCAGTTTGTTAATCGAAAAACGTAAAAAAAAAAGGGAAAAGGGGCAAATAAGCCCTCGAACTAACCGAAAAAATGCAAATCACCACTTTAATTGTAGACTTTGTCCGGCCATCGCCATTTGGGGCAGTTACTGGTGGAATTTTATGATTAATTTTTTGAGCACCTTCTTCATTAAGTCTAGTTTACTCATACCAAATTTCAGCTAAAAATTCAACCGGGAAGGCAGTCAAATGATTTTCTAAAATATACTGCGCTGTTTAACTACACAATTATCTTCAAACATTTATCTGACTGCCTTCCCGATTGCATTTTTAACCGATTTTTGGTATGGGTAAACTAGACTTAAGAAGATCTCAAAAAAAATCATCAAAAAATTCCACCGGTAACCGCCCCAAATGGCAACGGCCGGACAGAGCCTCCTATAAAAGGGGTGATTTTCACTTTTTCGGTTAGTTCGAGGGCTTATTTGCCCCTTTTCCCAAAAAAAAAAAATTTTTACATCAAAATGTGTATTTTTTATTTTATACTACCTCCGTAACAGATATATCTTCCTATTTGAAAAGTAGGTGAGATTAAGAATAGTGAAAGGAGATATAAATTATTGAGGGTATGATGGGAAGATAATTAAATAGTGTGCTGGAATGAAGTATAAATTTAAAAAAAATAGTTGTAATAGTGTATTATTTTTAAAATTATTGAGGGTATGATAGGAAGATTTAGAAATGAGAAGATATGAATGTTACGGCTAAAAAAGGAAAGTGAGAAGATATGAGTGTTACGGAGGGAGTAATTATTCAAGGAAAAAAATAAAAGTAAAACATTCATTTTCATTTTCATTTACCCCAGTGCCGCAAAGGCTCCCCACCTACCGTGGGGTAAGGGGGTGTCGGATGTACGCAGTCTTACCCCTGTACTAAACCACATAGAGATTGTTTCCGGATGACCCATAGTGAAATCGTGTCCAAAATTGCATGGACTGACTGCTGCTCCATAACAAAAGAAGCGCAGACAGTTTATTGAGTCATTTTACTTTATTCCATCATAAAACATTACTTATAATAATTTAATTAATGTAGAGTGTATTTTATTAACGGCGCACGGATGCAGGGAAAAATAGTATTGACGGGGTTAAACACCGTTTTCATATGGAAGGAGTCCAAATTTAATAATTTGGACTCTTGACCGCTACAAATGGTTTAATGCCTCCACACCTGAGAAATAGGTTGGACCCTTCACACAATATATATACTCCCTCCGTCCCTCATAACTTTGTCAACTTTCCTTTTTTGGTTGTCTTAAAAACTTTGTCTTTTTCCCTTTTAATCAATCAAATCTGACAATTCTTTTAGGGACGGAGGGAGTAACATTCATGTGATTAGTCTAGTGTTCCTTGACTTCCTTCATATTGCTTGTAATTTTCACTACAATCTAGCTAGCAACGGAAGCATCAAGCCATAATGAACTCATGTAAGAGATAAACTCACTTTCCCAACTCTGGGACTACTTTAGGGCCTGTTTACTAACGGAAATATTTTATGTTTTTGCAAAAAATTGGAAAACTGGAGATAGAAAAAGTAGAAAACCTGTTTACCTAATTGTTTTCCAAAAGAGAAAAAACGAGACATGTCTCGCGTTTTGCTTCTGAAATTGAAAAACGACATTTAGACGTTTTCACATTTTGGAAAACGCGGAGCTGCAGTGCCTTATTTACTCCTTCGCCTTCCTCCACCTTCCGCCTTTACTGCGCTCTACCTTCCTCCACGTCGCTCAACCGTACTGGGAGTTCAGGGTTAGCCTATCTTTACTCCTTGCCTTTACTGCGTTGTACCTTACTTCCACCTACCATCTTTACTTCTCTGCCAAACCCCTTCAATTTGAAGACTATCTAACCACATCCCTATTCTATTTAAGTCGTATTCAAGCTTCCCCAAAGGCATCGCACTGCTTCTCCAACACTACACCTCGTCGATTCATTCCCCAAAGGCGTCGCACCAGCTTCACAGGACGTCGCTACTAGGAACTCTAACCTGCCATCACGGAATCTCCCAATTCTTCAGTCGGATCGTGTTCTATCAACGAGTTCAAGGTAATCTCTCAAATAAAATGACATTTTCACTTTACGTTGTTGAAACTTCGAATTCGATTGGAAACCTGAAGGCCAATTGAGCTTCGTTATGTTTTTTTTTTAATTTCTGGCTATTTCTACAGTATTTATTTTAATTGAGCTTCAAGATTATATTGTTTTACTGTCAATGGTGTGTTTTATCTTTTAGTTCGTTTCCAAATTCCCGAGGTCCAAAGGATTGTCCTACACAATGTAGTTGATAATGAGCATGTTAGTTGTTCTTTTTTAAGCATCTATCACTGGAGCGAATGAATATCATTGTACATGTTTTACTGGTTTTCTTGTGTTTGAAGGTCTTTTGGTGTTTAATTCATTATTATTTTTAATTAGCAAACATAGAAGTAGCTTTTTATAATTTCCAAAATTATGATTTTGAAGTAACTCCTTTTTATATACTAGCTGCGTTTTGCTTTATTTATTTCCAGCTTCATAAGAGAATCATTGCTTTATTTAACTCCTTTTGTTATTTAAGATTGGGGGAAAATTCTGTAAATAAGAAATATGTGACAGGGGCTTTAAGACCTTTAAAAGGAAGGGTTGCAAGAACTATCCGTTAATGAATCTTGTTTTTGGACAAGGGAGTGCAAGTGGAGGACTAGCTACTCCTTCAACGCAAGTACCGACACTCTCAGACGAGGAAAGAAGGAATGAGGATGTATTCTTAAATGGTGAAGGGGGCATGAGCTCAGAGAGATCACACTCCACACTCAAAAGGGAAACGCAAAGTTGATGAAGCGATGGGATCCAGCACTAAAGACTGGAAGAGTGTTTTGGCTAATGTGGTCCACACGTACACGACAACAACGAGTGAAAAAGAAAAGAGGCGTCGTACTCGTGATGAAGATGTTAGCACCACATCTAAAGGGGCAACTAGAAACTTTTCTATGACCCGATGCGTTGAAGTCATAAATGATATGCCGAATGTGTCAACCCGTGCATATAATGATTCTATCGATGCACTTACAGATGTTGTCCGGCGTGAGGCCTTTATGGCTATGCCTGCAGACCGACAATTGGATTGGGTTTTGAGATTTGATTCTAACCAATTCGATTGTGTTTAATCTTCCTAATCTATGTTATAAGTTTTATCTATATGCACTTGAACACTTTGTTAGAACAATATTTGTCTACGTAATGTTTGTCGAATTATTGAAAGTATTTGTTACGTATAATGTGATTTTGCATTTTTATCGCACTTCAAAGTACAATGTTAAACTTTATTGCAGATACACAATGTCACATGTTGGCAGTGGTGGTGATATTTCAGACTCTGCAAGTGACGAGGATGATGAGTTTGGGGCCCTACTATTAATGGTTACATGTGTTTTAGTTGACGTCGAAAGAATTCCATGTCGAACGTCTATACTGACAGGTAATGCTTATATCGATGAATTATTGATAGGTCATCCCTTAAGATGCTATGAGAGTTTTAGGATGAACCCACACGTATTCCTACGCTTATGTGAAAGACTTAAGAATTTGGATGTTCTACACGATTCAAGATATTTAAGGGCTGAAGAACAATTATGAATAGGTCTTTTAGTGTTATGCCAAGGAGTGGGCCAACGTACATGTGCAGAGCGTTTCCAGCATTCAATGCGAACTATTCACTTATGTGTCAAGCATGTGGTGAGAGCACTTGCACGATTGGGCAACGAAGTTATAAGGTCAGTTAACAGGGGGCCGTTCAACCAGAAATTTTAGAAAAACCGAAATGGTATCCTTATTTTGAGGTACGTGTAAGCCTATGTACGTTTTTCAATACTTTGGTTAACTCATACTATTAATGGTGTACAACTTTTGTAGAAATGTGTAGGGGCCATTGATGGTACTCATGTAGCAGCCTCGACACCAGCTTCTAAACAAAAGACGTTTCACGGTAGACATTCAACGGTGACTCAAAATGTCATGGCGGCTTGTAGTTATGACATGTTGTTTAAGTATGTATATGCGGGTTGGGAGGGAACGTGCAATGACTCTCGAGTATTTTTAGATGCAATTACAAGAAGTGAAAATGGGTTGCCCATGCCTCCTATCAGTAATACAATAATTATGCATTTTGTATTAATCATGTCACTATTCTGCAAAAATAAGTTCCCAATGCAGTTGTTATGCACTTCAATGTAGGTTATTACTATGTTGTTGATGCTGGCTATCCAAATGTTCCGGGTTTTTTAGCCCCATACCGTGGAGAGAGTTATCACTTAAATGATTTTCGAGGTCGAGGACGAATACGCAATAAGCAAGCTTTATTTAACTACCGACACTCGTCCTTGTATAATGTGATCGCGAGATGATTTGGAGTACTAAAGGAAAGATTTCCCATTCTAGACATATCACATGGTTACCCATTGAAAAGACAAGTTCAAATTCCCATAGCTTGTTGCACATTACATAACTTCATTCGCATGCAAGATAGGAACGATTGTTTGTTCTGGGAGTACGAGGAAGAGGATATGATATTTAACACGGAGGCAAGTACAAGTGAAAATGGATCACTTCAGTTTGATGTGTCTCAACAACAACAAATGCATGAAGTTCGAGAGAGTATTGCAAATGCAATATGAGATGATTATAATGTATGAGATGTCGAAGTACGACCGATGTTCTGATTACCATAATGTCACTTATTGAACTTTCAGGGTTGGGGAACATTTATGTTAATTTTTTGTGTTATTCCAAATGTTTGTAATTGTGGATTTGTTTTCCAAATATTAAGTCAACATTTTCTGGTAAAAATGAAATGGAAAATGAAATGGAAAATTTTCTGGTAAACATGTTTTCTGATTTGGAAAACAAAAACTGAAAAACGAAAACAGAAAACTAGAGACTTGAAAACAGAAAATGAAAACAAAAAAATATTTCTGTTAGCGTACCCTTAGTTTTTCAAGAACTCTTTGTGCCCCCAAAAGAACTATGATACCCACCTGATGATAATGACACTATAATCTGTTGAGAGCTTATTTCTCAAACCTTGTACTGTTTCTCACCAAGTTTCTAGAAGAGCTGAAAGAGAACCTTCCATTAGGTTATGTATGTATGTATTTATAAAAAAGAGATCTGCCTTTAACTCCTGCAATATTGTTTCTCTTTTAGCAGATTTGACTCTCCGGTGGCTGCCCAATGAATTAGTATATCACCTATGTTGTCAGCGATGCCTCCCATAAGTGAGTTTCCATTTAGAACAGTTAAAGGAAGTCGACCTATATCAACATGTGATAGCTTATCATCGGTAGTGATTCAAAAGATAAAACCTTTTAGCCTCCATGATGCTGAAAGAAACAAAGGTGTGTCCTTTCTTGTGAATTATCAAATTATGTTGAGGGCAGCCCCTGATTCTCTGCTTCTCTGGAGCTTGTCTGCTTTACCCCCCCCCCCCCCCCCCCCCCCCCCCGAGTATAAGTAGGAGCATTGAGCCCAAGTCCCTGAGCCAATCATCTACAAGAAGAAAGAGGAAGATTCCCTGCTTCCCTAAAGGAGTAACTGATCTCTTAAATGGCTGAGTAACCCTCCTGCACTATTCAAATGCGAATAAAATGAAAAAACAAAAGGGACGAAGACCGAAACCAGAATGAAGAACTAAGAGGAGCAATGCATCTGTCTGCCAAATTCAATCGGATAGTCAAATGCCCCATTATAGCTCTAGTCCTGGACATGCTATCCTGTTCATTCAAAACAGCGAACTTCTGCCATCTTCTTGGAATTGATCTATTTAAGTGTTCAGGACGAGCTTTAATTTCATTTGAAAATCAAAGAAGGCAAGACCATGTGCAAACTAGACATATGGGGCCACGTAGCCATTCAGAAAAACATATGATCTTCAGTGTGGCCTTTTCCTGGGACATAAAAATTAGGAATCACAAGGTATGTTTCCTTACAAATTGATGTATTTTCCTGGGATATTACCATTCATCTTCCTCACACATTTGATAGGTCTCCTACTAGTTGAGCTATCACCATCTGTTCAATTTCACTGAACCATATAGCCATATAGGGAATGATGCTTAAAGACAATACCATGTGGTAATATCTGAGTCATACCAACCTCACAGCTAGCTGTTTGGTGGAGCCTTTCAACATCCATCATGAACCTATGGAATCTGGAGTTTTCCGATATACTACAACCATACAAAGTGAAATCACATGCTGTGTTTTTAATAATCTAGGGATTCAAACTAATTAGTAGGCTTTCTTGTAAAGACATAAGTGGTTAGGATATCCCTGAAGTTCATTGAATCATGTAGGGAATGATGTGTAGATACAGGCCATCTTATTGTACTGATTTGATTTTCTTAGTAAGATAAAACCAGTTGTTGACGTCTCTTATCTTGGAAGGCTGGCAGGATTTCCACGTAGTATCTTTTAGCCACTCACTCAATCAACCTCCCAATGGATCTATCTATTTAAGCAATACTGAGTTTGGTATTCTCCCCAACTCAAAATACCTTCTTCACATAACTCCTTAAAGAATCTATCTACACAGAGTTTTCCACAGCTAAAGAAAGAAAGAAATATTCAACCATGGCTATTAGTATGACAAAAATTCTGCGTGCTACTAAGCCCAGCCTCAGGAGGTCATCTTCAAGAACTCACACAGAAAGTGAGGTTCCTAAGGGTCACTTTGCAGTTTATGTTGGTGAGGGTGAAAAGAAGCGTTTTGTCCTTCCGATATCATACTTGAATGACTCTTTATTCCAAGATTTGCTCAGTCAAGCTGAGGAAGAATTCGGATTTGATCATCCAATGGGAGGACTCACAATACCCTGTCCCGAGGCTACTTTCCTTGACATCATCTCTAGCTCGATTTAATTATCATCATAGAATACAGATAGAGATGACATAGCTTAGTTTAGTGAACAATTCTTTTTGGGTATATGACTATATGAGTTACTCTGTACAGTTGATATAGAGATTATTATACTATAATACTTTGGAGATTATTCTGATTTGTCATGTTACTCACACCACAGTAACAGAAGCTAGTACAGACAATAGATGAAGTACTCTCTTGTAATTCAAGTCTTGAGGGAGGAATATATTCGTCAACGATAAATTTGATAAAACTTTTATATATTTTATAGTAATGCAGTTTAATCCTTTCCCATTTCAAAGAAACACTGTACATTTGTGTTGCAAAGCTATATATATGAATTTCGGACCTTAACTTAATTCACAAATGGAGGTGACCTTTTAAGTCATGTCCGTGCTGCTTCTGTTACAGTAAATACATGTGTCTTTTAGAAAGTAATTCAAAAATCACATTTCTCTCTCTATTTGTTAGGTACTCCCTCTACTTTAAGAAGGTTCATTTGACATGGGAATTGGTATGAGGCACATTATCCATGCTAAAAAGGGTCTCAGAAAGTGTTCTACAAGAACAAATATAAAAAATGAGGTTCTTGACATCATCTCCAGTTTGAATAGTAGGCCCTGAGAGACTCTACCAGCAGTTGAGTTTTGTCGTTAAAATTTGCTATAATTACGATGAGTTCTCTTATTCAAATCTACGGATATGTTTTATTTTTTTATATCACTTCTTGATAAGAATAGGACATACAAGTTCTGAGAAACTGCATGCATGTTCCTGTAATGTGGTTAAGGTTTTGAAATATGAATTTTCTTCTAATCATAACTGTTAAAATATTCACATGTTAACATACATCTTTTGTTGAACATAGTAAATAAAACTCTATGTAATTATCGCTTTATCCTGAGCTAATCTATTCATGATCTAATAGCTCATCATCATCATCTTCATTTTCATCATCATCATCACCACCCCAGTGCCGCAAAGGCTTCCACCTATGGTGAGATAAGGGGGGGGGTCGGATGTACACAGTCTTACCCCTGTACTAAAACAGAGAGAGAGGCTGTTTCCGGATGATCCATAGTGAACATCGTGTCCAAAATAGCATGGACTGACCGCTGCTTCTTGACAAAGAAGCGCAGACAGTTTAGTAAGCCATTTTGCTTTATTCCATCATATTTTCAAGCCAAAAAATAGTGAGTCTTTGGCTCCACTGCAAGAGGGTGTGCACTTGTAATGTAGCATTGAGAATATTGAGAATTCCAATTATTCTTAAATGTGTGGTAATGTCTCAATCCACCTCCCTAAGAATGCTTGACTAATGAAGATTTTTCAATAGGATGAGTAAGAGTGTAAGTGGCTATGTGACAGTGTCGAAAGCCTTACCCTCGGTGTATTGGGCTTTGCTCACTTTGTGTTGTTATCCCTAGTTGTAGCTATATATAGGCCTTATACAATCCTTTGAGCAGTGATTATAAGAATGAATATCTGATATTTCAAAGACCGGAAAATGCTTGTAGTCACATTACTTTCACACTTTTCTAAAAGTAGACTATATATCCTTATCGCATACCTACCCTTATCACAATATGTGGGCTTATAAGTTAGATCTTTTGAAATAGAAAGAAGATGAGCAGTGTATTTTGGCTAAAAACAAAATGACGTTAATGCCTGGAAGGACCCGCGGCTACCGGGTGAGAATCCTTTGGTTAGAACGGAGGTATGGTAAGGTTTGGAGAACTTGAGGATGGAGGGGCTGTTAGTTGTAGGCGGAATGGAGGGAAATGGATATTGTCTCTGACATCCTTCTGGAGGAAGATCAAGAGCTGGTCTATAGGATCTCTTTGAGCAACCAGAGGGTAACAGATAAGATGTATTGAGCGTGGGAGGCATCTGGAGTGTACTCGGTTAGGAGCTGCTATCAGGCTCTGGTGGGGGAGTTTGATAATGCTGGATGGACGGGACGGGCTCGGCTTTAGAACTTCCTCATCCCTCCAAAAGTTAAGTGCTTCTTCTGGCAGCTTTGCGGGGGTTGTTTACCTACGAAGGATAAACTGAAAAGCAGGCAGGTGGATGTGATTCCTTCGTGTTGCTGGTGCGAAGATGAAATGGAAACGGTTGAGCATCTTTTTTGCAAGAGTCGGCTTGCACGGGAAGTGTGGAAAAGACTTCGCTGGAGAGCAAATTTGGGTGTGAATGCCTAGTTCTTAGCGTGGGTCGAATCTTTTTTCTCAGCTTCGAACGAGGAACAATGCAGCGGCCTAGTCAACGAAGCGCCCTCTTTCCCTCTAGCTGGAGACGTGCTCAGGAGATTGAGGATAAGCTGCAGTCTGGTGGAGGTGGCCGTGATCTACTATGGAGGAAACCGTTAGAAGGCGGTATAAAGATCAACAAAGATGCTGCTGTTAAACAAATGGGAGGAGGCTGCGGTCTGGGTTGGGTTCCACGTGACAATACATGAGCATTTCTCGCAGGGGAGGCTATCCCGTGTCGGGGGAAATATCTACCGAGAGAGGCTGAAGCTTTAACCATAAGGGAAGCGCTGAGTTGGGTTATGGCACGGGGATGGGATAACACTGAAATTGAGTCAGAGGCTTCTGAGGTTATTTTAAGTATCCATCATTTGAATGGAGCCAAAGACTCACTATTTTTTGGCTTGGGAATATGATGGAATAAAGCAAAATGGCTCACAAAACTGTCTGCGCTTCTATGTTGTGAAGCAGCAGACAGTCCATGTAATTTTCGACGTGAGTTTCACTGAAAAAACAGTCTCTCTGTGCTACATGGGTAAGACTGCGTACATCCGACCCCCCTTACCCCACCGTAGGTGGGAGCCTTTGCGGCACTAGAATAATGATGATGATGATGAGTGAAGGGCCGGAAATTCAAGTTTCAGTCTGCTAATTGAGGATATTAAAACTATGGTGGCTAGTTTTTCTTTTATTTATTTTAGTAATGTGAAACGATCTGTGAATTGTGTCGCTCATACTCTGTCTAGAGTGGCCCATATGTATGTGCGGCATGTTGGTTCATGATTTAATTAATGATAGTTGATCGTTTTTATTTTAAAAAAACTCTATCACTTTTATTAGTGACAACCAATAGAATCAAAACGGTCGAGGAATATGTGAAGCTTAATAATACTTAATTTTTTCACATAGTTTACTGTGTGTATACTGAGCAGTAATAGTATTAATAATAATAATAATAATAATAATAATGAAGTCATTGGATTTTTTAAAATTTTGGAAGAGTCAATTTGCTACAAAGCTTGGTGACAGTACTGCATTACTACTATCAGTAAACAAGGTGTTTAATGTGCAGTTATTATTTAAATGTGCGTTAATGTTTCAGTTAAACGATTGAATGCTTTCTTGCACACTTGAATAGTTAAATATATACGAACCAAGAAGACTCAAAAGATATATGAAGCTATGAGCATAACCGGCTACAAAACTTGTTAAATGTACTTCTATGAGTAAACAAGGTGCATTTCCTGATATATATTCCCACCTTGGTCATGAAAAACCGTAAAGAACTAATGTATTTAATCTGTTGAGCAAATAGGCAAAATGATGTCCCACCTACTGGTTGGTGGTGGCCCAAGTGGGGCCTTTTAGCTTCTAACAGAAACCTAAAGAATATGGAGTTTTCCCATGCACTAAAACCATAATATGTGAAATCTCATGGTTTGTTTCCTAATAAAATATCTAGGGATTAAACTAATTGGTAAGCTTTATTGTAAATAAAGTAGTGGTTAGGATATCCCCAGCTGTTCTAGATTCAATGAAGCATGTGGGGAGTGATGTCTAAAGACAGACCATTTTGTTGTATTTTTTTGGGTAGGCAAAACCATTTGTTGATGTCTTGCAAGCTAGCAGCCCTTCCATGTGGCACTCAATCCTCCTCCCAGTGGATCTATTTAACATCGATGTTATTATGTATTTTCCCAACTCAATATTCACCTTCACACAACTCCTAAAAGTGTTTACATCCGCAAATAGTTTCCTCTAGCTAAAAATAATCAAGAAACATTCAAGCATGGCGATTAGTATGGCGAAAATTCTGCGTGCTACTAAGCCAAGCCTCAGGAAGTCTTCTTCAAGAACAAACAGAGAGAGCAAGGTTCCTAAGGGTCACTTTGCAGTTTATGTTGGTGAGGGTGAAAAGAAGCGGTTTGTTCTTCCTATATCATACTTGAAGGACTCTTCATTCCAAGATTTGCTTAGTCAGGCTGAGGAAGAATTCGGATTTGATCATCCAATGGGAGGACTCACGATACCTTGTCCGGAGGCTACTTTTCTTGAAATCATTCAAGCTAGCTCAAATTGATCTATAGAGAAGGCGGAAACACAGCTTAGAGTAGTCAATTAGTCATTAGCAAACAGTTTTTTTAGAAAGTAATACTTTCCTAGCACACAGTTTTTTTAACAGATTCTTGTCTGTTTTTTGGCTGTTGTGATTAATATTAGTTTATTACTCCGTATTACTGTATAGTAAACTCCACAATTTAGTTACCATATTGCGTTCATCTTTTCCTTTTTCTGACACTGATAAACTACAAACCTGAAATCTAATACAATTACCCTACACAAATTTTGACTTTCCATGTAAAAGAATTTACATTTTTTTGCATCGTAAATATGAGATATCAAGCTTACCTGAAATATGATAGTAACACATATGGGACAGGGGGGAATTTAGAATATGTCATTGGTTAATCTCCAAACGTTTAAGTGTATTTTTATAATAAAATTGTTTTCTCTGAATTAAGGAATTCAATTAAAACATTTGGACATACCATGATGAACGAAGAATTGTTATGAAGTTAACTAGTTATAAGTTCAAGTCTCCCCAGCCCTTGCTGTCACAGTTGCCCACTGAAGTCAAGCTAAAGAAGAACTTGGATTGGATCATCAGATTGGTGGACTTACAAGTTACAATTCCTTGCCCCGAGTATACCTTCCTTGACATAATATCCAGTACTATGAGTAGATCGTGATAGACCACAGTACATATATAATTTACGTGGTAGTTTTTAGTCTCCAAAACAATTGTTCATGGATAGATATTTCTAGATTTAGAAATATATATTCATTGGTTAGCATACTGTATGTATTCCTATCTTATTTTTCTTTGTTTATCTGATCATTTCAGTTTTTAGATTAGAACTAAGAAACTCTTGCAAAAATATAAATATGAACAGCAGGCAGACAGGGGGATGATTATTTTAGGACAAGAAATTGTGTTCTTTTCTAAATAACTCATAAGAAAATAGAATAACTAGGATGTAATCATCGGTGGTATGGCACTAAGATGTAGTTCAGACTTCAGATTGTGCATGTGTATATATATTTCTAGAACTTGTCCTTCTTCATGGAAACACAAAGGCTGTGTTTGAAAGTTGAAACGTGAAAAAATTGAAGGAATGAGTAAAATATGCCAGATGAAAACAATTTGGTTTGGTTTTACCTTAAAAGATACCAAGTAAAATAAAAACTTATTACAATATGTTTTAAATATGCATCGATTAATGAGTTTGAACTAATATCTTATGCTACGTATGTCCTAACAAAGTTTTCTTTCCTTGTCTTATTTCGGGTTCCAATCATAGCCAAAACATTCTGCACATTCAAAAGAAAACAAGTCTTTATGCAAAAGTTGTATGGGATGTATTATAGGTATACAGTGATGGAATATGTTCCATGCTAATTCTTGGTACCTGGCTATAAATAATGGTGACAGAATATTACTTTCTAGTTACGTGAATAAAATTTGCAAGTATTAGATTTGTGCATATTTCCTTTGATGTAACTAGCTAAAGCATCCTGACATCCATAGCTGAAAATTGTGTACACCCCAGTCAAGAGCATCCTTTATAGCAGCCTTAGTTTCTGCATCATTATATTGTTCTAACATCATACTTGAAGGGCCCTCCCTTCAGAGGGGATTTGATCATCCAATCAGCCCTAGTTTTTGCATTTAAGCTGTATTTAGATCTCCATTACCGATTAGCCAATTACTCAATTGGGAATTTCTCCATTACTCAATCTGGATTTTCTCCATCAGCAATTACAGTTACAGTGAAGCCCTAATGCTGCCAGACCTTAGAAACAGGATGGACCCTTCACACAGTATATGCAGCCTTTATGTAGTCGGTCCATAGTGTGCCCTCCTCTTACTCTTGATTTCCACCACTATCTCACTACTAACAGAAGCATCATGCCATCAAGAACCTATGTAAAAGTTGATATCATTTTCCCTAGTTTGCGATAACATAAGTTTTTCTGAGCTCCTTGTGTCCCAAAAAGAAAAATGATACCCACCTGAAGGTAAAAGTATACAATGCAGAAGCACACAACTCCTTGGTTAGTATTTTTAAGACCCAATGCATCAGAAAAGTACCTCCAGTTCTTTTTAGCAGTTTCACCAGACTCAACAGGAGTGACAAAGATGATAATGATACTATCATCTGTTGGGAGCTTATTTTCAGATCTTTACAGTTTCTTACCAAGTTCGTAGAAGAGCCGAAAGCGATCTTTCCATTACCGAATGTATCTATTTCTAAAAAGAAAACTGCCTTTACTCCTGCAATATTGTATCTGACCATGCTTTTACCAAATTTGACTCTACAGTGGCTGCCCAGTGAATGAATAAATCATCTATGTTGTCAGCTATGCCCCCATTAGTGAGTTTTCCATGAAGTCAAACCATATCTACATGTGATGGATTATCACTGATAGTGATCCAAAACCTTAAATCTTTAAAATCCTCCATGATGCCGAAAGAAAATTTTTCTGCCTTCTTGTGAACTATCCAAGTCTCTTGAGGGCAGCCCCTGAACCAATCATATGATAGAAGAAGAAAGAGGAAGATTCTCTGCTTTTCTTGAGCTTCTCTGGTTGTCCCCCCCCCCCCCCCCCCCCCCCTCAATATAATTACGATCCTTAAGCCTCATTTAATGAGCAGATGAACTTCCTGCCTTCATGGACTCTTCCAAGGGAAAGCACAACTAGCTCTCTGAAATGGTTTAATAAACCCCCCTGCACTATTCAAATGCTAATAAAATGAAGAACATGATGAAGATGGACACGAGAATGAAGTAACTGAGACGAGCAATGCATTTTTCTGAAAAACTCAATCAGAGCCAAATTCCCCATTATAGTTCTAGTCCTGGAGATGCTATCCTGTTCATTCAAAAGCAACAAACTGCTTCGAACTGATATGGTATTGAGCAAGATCAGCAGAAAAAGCGCACAGAATTTGACTGGGCGGAATTGCAGTAGTTGATGACCAGATTGCCGAAGGAAGTTATCTATTTAACTGTTTAGGAGGCTAGGATAAGCTTTAACTTGTTGTGCAATCAGTAAAGGCAAAACCATGTGCAAAGTAGACGTATGGGGGCACTATGCCAAATAGAAAAACATATGATCTGAAGTGTTTCCTTTCCCAGGAACAAAAAAATTAGGGACCACAAGGTCTGTTTCCTAACCAATACAGTTTCCAGGGAAATAACCATTCATCTTCGCCATACATTTCACATGTCTCCTACTAGTTGAGCTATCACTATTTTTCAATTTCACTGAACCATGTAAGGGAATAATGCTTAAAGACAATACCATGTGGTAATGTCTCAGTCATACCAACCTCAAAGCTAGCTGTTTGGTGGAGCCTTTCACCATCCATCATGAACCTATGGAATCTGGAGTTTTTCCATACACTACAACCATACAATGTCAAATCACATGGGCTGTTTCCTAATAATTTAAGGGTTCAAACTACTAGGTAGGCTTTCTTGTAAAGACATTAGTGGTTAGAATATCCTCATCTGTTTAAGATTTATTGAATCATCGGGTAAAGAAGAACCCATCTACAGTAGATTCATTAAAGAAGGTAGGGTGATGTGTAAAGACAAGCCATCTTCTTGTATTAATTTGATAAAACCAATTGTTGACGTCTCTTATCTTGGAAGGCTGGCAGGATTTCCACGTAGATATCTTTCAGCACTCATTCAATCAACCTCCCAATGGATCTATCTATATAAGCACTACTAAGTTTGGTATTCTCCCCAACTCATAATACCTTCTTCACACAACTCCTTAAAGAATCTATCTACATTTAGTTTTCCACAGCTAAAGAAACATTCAACCATGGCCATTAGTATGACAAGAATTCTGCGTGCTACTAAGCCCAGCCTCAGGAGGTCATCCTCAAGAACTCACAAAGAAAGTGAGGTTCCTAAGGGTCACTTTGCAGTTTATGTTGGTGAGGGTGAAAAGAAGCGTTTTGTCCTTCCGATATCATACTTGAATGACTCTTTATTCCAAGATTTGCTTAGTCAAGCTGAAGAAGAATTCGGATTTGATCATCCAATGGGAGGACTCACAATACCCTGTCCCGAGGCTACTTTCCTTGACATCATCTCTAGCTCAATTTGATCATTATCATAGAATACAGATAAAGATGGCATAGTGTAGTTTAGTGAACAATTCTTTTTGGGTATAAGAGTTAACTTGTACAGTTGATATTGAAAATAGAGAATATACTATAACTTCATTACCTTGGAACTTTTCCTGATTTGTTCTGTTACTCACAACACAGTTACCGAATCTAGTGCAGGCAAGAGACAGAGTGCTCTCTTATAATTCAAGTCTTGATGGAGGAATATATTTGTCAAAGAAAAACTTGATTAATAAAACGCTTATATTCTATAATAATGATTTTTAATCCTTTTTTCAAAGAAAATCTGTACATTTCAAAGGGTAAAGCTATAAATATGAACCTGGGAGCTTATCTTTAATCACAGTATCACACATTGAGGGGGCCTTTTGAGTCATGGCCGTTGTCATTAGCAAACAGATTTTTGGAAAGGAATACCTTCCTAGCACACAGTTTTTTTTTACAGATTCTTGTCTTTTTTTGGCTGTCGCGATTGATATTAGTTTATTATTATTCTAGTAAACTTCACAATCTAGTTACCATTTTGCGTTCATCTTATCCTTTTTCTTACACTGATAAACTACAAATCTGAAATCTAATACAATTATGTTACACAAAATTTGACTTTCCAAAGAAAAAAATTACATTTTTGTTCATAGTAAATTGGGAGTATGAGATTTCAAGCTTACAATATGATAGTAACTAATAACTATTGTGGGACAGGGTGGATTTTACCATACGTCACTGCTTACGTGTACGTGTATTTTTATAAATTAATGTTTACGTGTATTTTTAAAATAAAATTGTCTTCTTTGAGTTAATGAGTTCAATTAAAACATTAGGACATATACCATGATCAATGAAGAATTGTTATGAAGTTAACTAGTTATAAGTGCAAGTCTCCTCACCCCTTGCTGTTACAGTTGCCCACCTAAGTCAAGCTGAAGAACCTGGATTTGATCATCCCGTACTATGAGTAGATCTTGATAGACCACAGTCATATACAACAACATCCAAGCCTTATTCCCAAACGATTTTTGAAGTCGGCTAACATGAATCGATCGATGATATCGGATCCAAAAAGTAAAGAAAGATAAAAAAATAAAAAAGATAAGGTAAGATAAAAAAGATGAGATAAAGATAAATATAAGATAAAAGAACATATAAAAGATCATCATCATCATTACTCCAGTGCCGCAAAGGCTCCCACCTAAGGTGGGGTAGGGGGTCGCATGTACACAGTCTTACCCCTACAGTAAAACATAGAGACTTTTTCCGGATGACCCAAAGTGAAAATCGTGTCGAAAATTGCATGGACTGACTGCGGCTTCATAACAAAGAAGAACAAACATTTTAGTGAACCATTTAGCTGTATTCCATCACATTCCCAAACCAAAAAATAGTGAGTCTTTGGCTCCATTGCAAATGATGGAAGATAAAAGATAAAAATAACAAAAGAACATAAGAACGATAAAGAAGACAAAAAGTTAAAAGAAGAGAGAGAGAGAGAGAGAGAGAGAGAGAGAGGAGATCAATTCTCCAAACGAATATGCGCCCTTCAAAGTACATACTCCCTCCGTATCACTTTAGTTGTTCTGTTTGCTTTTCCACGTAGTTTAAGATAATTATTATAGACTTTATGAAAAGTAAGAGGTTTTTGGTAATGTAGCGGTACTGTAGCGGTATTGTAGCTGCTTTTTGGGTGGGTCTCTCTTTCCAAAAAGGGAAATGAGACAATTAATTTGATACGTCCCAAAAAGGAAATTGGGACAACTAAAGTGATACGGAGGGAGTATAATTTAGTTTTTAGTCCCCAAAACAAGTGTTCATGAATAGCCTTTTTTCCTTATTAGATTTAGAAATAGATCTTTATTGGTTAGCATATTGTATGCGTTCCTACTTTTCTTTGTTTATCTGATCATTTCAGTTTTCAGATTAGATCAAAGAAAATCTTGTAAAAATATAAATATGAACAGCAGGCAGAAAGGGTGGTGATCAATTTAGGATAAGAAATTGTTTTCTTTTAGCAATTTTACAATCAGAATCTTGAACAAAAAGATCTTGCAAATACGCCTTCCACCCATTGAAATAAAGCAATTGAATCCTTTTTTACCCGCTGGTGCCCGTTAGATGGTAACTTCCTCATGAGAAGTTACCGGCATGAGTAGGTCAAAAGGGTTGGATTGCTTTATTTCAATAGGTCGATAGGTGTATTTGCAAAGTCTTTCAGTTGAGGAGTCTGATTGCAGAATCGTTAATAGTTCGAGGGCATGTTTGCCCTTTTTTCTTTTCTGAATAATTGGTGAGAGAATAGAATAACTAAGATGTAATATGTAGTTCAAATTTGTGCATGTGTATATATATTTCTAGATCTTATCTTTCTTCATGGAAACACAAAGGCTGTGTTTGAAAGTTGAAATGTGAAAAACTTGAAGGAATGAGTAAAATATGCCAAATGAAAACAATTTGCTTTGGTCTTACCTTAAAAGATACCAGGTAATATAAAAAAAAACTTATTACAATATGTTTTAAATATGCATCTATAAATGAGTTTGAACTAATATCTTATACATAGTATATCCTAATAAATTTTTCTTTCCGTGTCTAATTTCAGGTTCCAATCATAGCCAAACATTCTGGGATGTATTATAGGTATACAGTGATGGAAAATGTTCAATGAAAATATTGGTACCTGGCTATAAAAAATGGTGGCAGAATATTACTTTAAAGTTACGTGAATAAAATAACAGTTTATTGGTTAAACAGATTTTCAAGGAGAATTTGAAAGGAATGAATAAATCATTACACTTATAAGAAGATTACTTTGGAAAATATGAATTTGAAGTATTAGATTTGTGCATATTTCCTTTGATGTAACTAGCTAAAGCTTCCTGACATCTGTAGTTGAAAATTGTGTACACCCCAGTCAAGAGCATCCTTCATAGCAGCCTTAGTTTCTGCATCATTATATTGTTCTAGCATCATACTTGAAGGGTCCTCCCTTCAGAGATTTGCCAAAAAATAAATAATATGCGATTTGATCATCCAATCAGCCCTAGTTTTTGCATTTAAGTTGTATTTAGATCTCCATTACCGATTAGCCAATTACTCAATTGGGAATTTCTCCATTGGCAATTGATTCAATCTGGATTTTCTCCATTAGCAATTAGAGTTACAGTGAAGCCATAATGCTGCCAGATCTTAGAAACAGGATGTACCCTTCACACAATATATGTAGCCTTTATGTACTCAGTCCATAGTGTTCCCTCCTATTGTTCTTGATTTCCACCACCTCACTAGCAACAGAAGCATGATGCCATCAAGAACCTATGTAAAAGTTAATCTCATCTTCCCTAGTTTGAGATAGCATAAGTTTTTCTATTTTGCCTTTACTCCTGCAATATTGTTTCCGACCATGCTTTTACCAAATTTGACTCTACGGCGGCTGCCCAGTGAATTAATCACCATGAAGTCAGACCATATCTACATCGGATGGACTATCACTGATATTGATCCAAAAGCTTGAATCTTTAAAAGTCTCCATGATGGCGAAAGAATCTAAATTTTCTGCTTTCTTGTGAACTATCCAAGTCTCTTGAGGGCAGCCTCTGAGCCAAATATATGGAAGAAGAAAGAGGAAGATTCTCTGCTTTTCATGAGCTTCTCTGCTAGATTCCCCACCACCCCCGAGTATAATTACAATCCTCAAGCCTCATTTCATCAGATGAACTTCCTGCCTCCATGGACTCTTCCAAGGGAAAGCAGTCATAGCTCTCTGAAATGATTTAATAACCCCCTGCACTATTCAAATGCTAATAAAATGAAGAAAAACATTATGAAGATGGACACCAGAATGAAGTAACTGAGACGAGCAATGCATTTTTTCGGAAAAACTCAATCAGATAGCCAAATTCTCCATTATAGCTCTAGTCCTGAAAATGCTATCCTGTTCATTCAAAAGCAACAAACTTCTTCGAACTGATATGGTATTGAGCAAAATCAGCAGAAACAATGCACATATTTTGACTGGGCTCAGTGGGCTGAATGGCACTGCTTAATGACCAGATTGCGGAAGGAAGTGATCTATTTATCAGTTTAGGAGGCTAGGACAAACTTTAATTTGTTGTGAAATCAGGGAAGGCAAAACCATGTGCAAACTAGACATATGGGGCCACTAAGCCAATCAGAAAAAATATATGATCTGAAGTGTGGCCTTTTCCAGGAACAAAAAAATTAGGAACCACAAGGTATGTTTCTTAATCAATTCATATAGTCTCCTGGGAGATAACCATTGATCTTCGCCACACATTTGACATGTCTCCTACTAGTTGAGCTATCACTATTTATTCAATTTCACTGAACCATGTAAGAGAATAATGGTTAAAGACAATACCATGTGGTAATGTCTCAGTCATACCAACCTCAAAGCTAGCTGTTTGGTGGAGCCTTTCACCATCCATCATGAACCTATGGAATCTGGAGTTTTTCCATACACTACAACCATACAATGTGAACTCACATGGTCTGTTTCCTAATAATGTAGGGGCTCAAATCAATAGGTAGGCTTTCTTGTAAAGACATTAGTGGTTAGGATATCCCCATCTGTTCAAGATTTATTGAATCATCGGGTAAAGAAGAACCCATCTACTACAGATTCATTAAAGCATGTAGGGAATGCTCTGTAAAAACAGGCCATCTTCTTATACTACGTATTATTTTGATAAAACCAGTTGTTGATGTCTCTTATCATAGAAGGCTGACAGGATTTCCACGTATATATCTTTCAGCCACTCACTCAACCAACCTCCCAATGGATCTCTCTATATAAGCACCACTGAGTTTGGTATTCTCCCCAACTCATAATACCTTCTTCACACAACTCCTTAAAGAATCTATCTACATATAGTTTTCCACAACTAAAGAAACAAAGAAACATTCAACCATGGCTATTAGTATGACAAAATTTCTGCGTGCTACTAAGCCCAGCCTCAGGAGGTCATCTTCAAGAACTCACACAGAAATTGAGGTTCCTAAGGGTCACTTTGCAGTTTATGTTGGTGAGGGTGAAAAGAAGCGGTTTGTTCTTCCGATATCATACTTGAACGACTCTTCATTTCAAGATTTGCTCAGACAAGCTGAGGAAGAATTCGGATTTGATCATCCAATGGGAGGACTCACAATACCTTGTCCTGAGGCTACTTTCCTTGACATCATCTGTAGCTCGATTTGATCATTATCATAGAATACATATAGAGATGGCATAGTGTAGTTTAGAGAACAAATCTTTTTGGGTTTAAAAGTTACCTTGTACAGTTGATATTGAAAATAGAGAATATACTATAACTTCATTACTTTTGAACTTTTCCTGATTTGTTCTGTTACTCACAACACAGTTATCGAATCTAGTGCACACAATAGACAGGTTACTCTCTTATAATTCAAGTCTTGACGGAGGAATATATTCGTCAAAGAAAAACTTGATTAATAAAACGTTTATATTCTGTAATAATGCTTTTTAACCCTTTCCCTTTTCCGAAGAAAATCTGTACATTTGCAAGGGTAAAGCTATAAATATGAACTTTGGAGCCCATCTTTAATCAAACATTAAGGGGGCCTTTTAAGTCATGGCTGTGCTGCTTCTGCTACAGTCAATGAATGTCTAATAGAAAGTTATTCAAGAATCACATTTGTTTTCTCTATTTGTTAGATACTCCCTCTACTTTAAGAAAAATCATGGGTTTTTTCCTTGAATATTACTAATTTGAAGGTGCTTTCCTAAAATGTGACCACTTTTTCAAAAGGACAAAAAAGTGACTAAAAGGGTCACACATTTGGAAAAACTTGATTTCACAGCCATTTTTTATGTCACTGTCGGATTTTTATGTCACTACCAAACTTTTATGTCACTTTTGAAATGTCACTTCCGGTTTTCATGTCACTTTCAGATGTCACTATAGCGGAAAACGTGTCACTATGTCGCCGGAAAAATATTCCAGCGACTTTTCTCTATCAATTTTTTTGCCGGAAACCATCGCTCATCTACCGCCTCGACACCGACACCGCCACGTGAAACCGCCTACGGCCACTCACCCAGCTCGAGCTCCCTCCCCTTCACCCCAGCCCCTCCCCTGCACCCCCTGCACCCTCCCCTGCACCATAACCCCCTCCCCTGTCCCCCATCCCCTACCCAGCCCCCAGTCGCCTCCCCTGCACCTCCATCAACCTCCCTAGCCCCCTACACCTCCATCCCCCTCCCCTGCTCCCCCAGCCCTCTCCCCAGCACCCCCAGCCCCCTCCCCTGCACCTCCATCAACCTCCCCTGCTCCCCCAACCCCCTCCCCTGCGCACCAGCTCCGCCTCCTCAGACCCCTCCCCTGCCCCACCATCCCACCCACCCCTACCCCAGCAGCCCACCCCCTCCTCCACCAGCCGAACCTAGCCACCCCCAATAACTCGACTCGCCGCTGACCTCGATAACCACCAGTCCATAGCCACACCCGCCCGGTTTTTACTCCGTCGCACAAAATCGTAGCCGGATCTGAACCAGATCTGAACCACAAGCGGCCAATGACTGCTGAAGCGGAGACGAAGACCGGTGAGATATGAAGTGGCGATAGCGTTTGATGAGTGCTGAAGCGACGACGGCGGACCCATGGAGCGGATACGGCGGACCCCTGGAGCGGCGATGGCGGCACTCCTCCGCAATACAGAACTAAGCGGTAGTGGCAGGGCTAAGAGGGGATCCGTCTGCGGAGGACGATGACGGCGGCGAGATTCGTCAGAAGCTATGGCAATGATTGGTGGCTGCGGAGGTCTTATCTGCTGGTGTCGTGCTTTGTTCCAGCGTCGAAAGTAAAAATGGGCCTCAGTCACTAGCGTAAGAAGAAGGGAGAAAAGAAATCCTGGTCACTTTTTTGTCTAGTTCAAAAATGGTCACATTTGTGTCTTTTGAAACTCCATAAGTAATATCTATGCCATTTTTTCAAAAATCATTTGACATAGGAATTGGTAAGGGGCACATTATCCATGCTAGAAAGGGGCACTTTATCCATGCTAGAAAGGATATTTCATTCCCAGACTTGCTTACTCAAGCTGAGGAAGAATTCGGATTTGGTCATCCTATGGGAGGACTTACAATACCTTGTGTCGAGGCTACTTTCCTTGGGATCATCTGTAGCTCGAGTTTGTTGTTATAGAATACGGATATAGATGGCGTACTTTAGTCTAGCCAATAACATTTTGGGTTGAATTGTTTCCGTGTACAGTTCATTCAGAGAGTATACTATTATTTCATACCACAGTAATTTCTTTGTACTTTTATCTGATTTCTGTTAAGAACACAGTAACTGGAGCTAATAACTTGATTGGTCATACATGCATACATTTACATAAACAAAAATGTTTAATTTCTTTCATCCTATCAATCCTATCCAGTCCAGAGTATGCTTAAGAAACTCTACATTTGCTGTAAAGCAATATGTATGATGATCTTTGAAGCTTACCCAAAATCACATACATGACGTTCTTTTCGGTCATGTTAGGTCTAATTTCTGCTACATTAGATGAATTTCATTTATAAAGTAATTTAACAGTGTGTTTGGGGGAAACCAGTTAAACAGATCTTTCAATAATCCATTATTGCTATAATTGATCATAGAGAGAATCAGTTTCAAATTGGGAAAAGTTAGGTGAAAAGTGGTTTTGGAGTAATTAGTTTTATTTAGGTGCACAGAAATAGCTTTTTCAAGATACAATAGATTGGTTAACAGCTAAACGACTAAATATTTTGTTGAAAAATAATCATACGCTACAAGTTTCCAATTTAAAACACCTTTTGTTTCAATAACATACGTTGATTACAGATTTAAGCCAATGCTCCCAAAAGCATTTTTTTTTCCGGAAATATTCTATAATGTCATAATTTAAAAGCGAGCTGATATAATATCCTACGTAGAATATAAGCTGTGTCCTCAACATGCTACACATATCACATTTCATACCTATTTAACATTAAAACTTTACCAGCAGGGAATGTTTATGTATAGTTTAACCTCTAGTTTAATGAGAAAAGATTAGCTCCATTTCATCTTATGATCAGTTTGAAAGCAGGGATTTCCACTTCCTATATGGTGGCCTGTTTTGCAGTATTTTATTGTCTAGTTTGAATAGCTGTTGCTGTTGGACATGGTGAGTTACTGAGTTTTGCTATACAATACAAGTGGATGCAACATTAAAGTACTTCACATTTTCTTAGAAACTGAAATTAAGAGTTCTGTGTAGATCACATAGAACTTATATTTTCATGCACATCGAGCCATATTTATATGCATCAACTGCTATGTATACACCAAGGACTAGTTTTATGAGAAAGATTAGTGGATTCAGAACATTTCAATGCTTAGTATATGGGGATTACAAATGAAAGAGTGTATGCAATCTTGCGTTTGGGTTAGAGCCCTCTCAGATGGATGAACTGTTCATAATTCCATATAACAAGACCATGTTTCAGAATTCAGATCAAGTTCTCTAATCAAATCAGTTTGGGTTCCTGAAGATTCTAGAAATGAATGCAAGTTATTTTGTAATTTAGGGTGGGGGGGGTTATATTTGTAAATGTTTTTTGCTCAATATCTAATATCATGTGAATAAGTTAAAAAGGAAGTACTGGGAACGTGAAAGAATGAACAAGTTATATTTTTGTAAAATGGCTGACTTTCTGTAATTTTTACAAAATGTATTGAGCTACAATGACTAACTGACAACTGTAAATTGTCAGCAAACAAGGAATTGCTGATTTGTCCATTCTTCTTGTTGGTGTAGTGAATCTGAGGAACACCAATATGAAGTAACTGAGGAGGAGCAATGCAGTTTCGAGTTCTCTGGTTAAGCCTTTGCTAAGAAGTGAGACGATGTAGTCCATGAAGACGGAGTCACATGGTAGTTTAATAGGCCCATCACTCGGGATCCTAAATTCTTCTTCAGACATGTTAAGGAGTTGCCTAATAATCTCATTCTCGAGATAATATAGAGGCACTAGAAACCGCTT